GCACCGTTTTATTGTGTTGTATGAAATCAACAAGGTAGAAAACATTGGTGATTATAGGTTAAATTATATATGGTGACTCGTGTTTATATAAAGTTAACCAAAAATATGTGACCGTTAACCATGAGTTGCGAACTGTAACTCATGGTTAACGGTCACATATGTGGTACAATATCCGGAAAGCTCGTGTCGTTTTGTAAAAAACGCTGCTGCTGTGTTTGAATTAGATTTACATTTTCTGCGAAACTACATTTTTTTAATTATTGTAATGTGATACTGTGCACCGAAATAATTGAAATTATTACAACACAGCATGATTTTTTTTAGATAAATCTGGGATAAAAAAATCCCCTTGATTCTTTAATCAACTTTTGAAATGTATTCGAAATTTTGAATTTACTGTGTATTGGTTGGAATTCTATTTCCCCATTTGTAATTTTTTAACATATGCAGACAATAATTTAAATTCTGTTCAATCAGTGACATGAAACAAATAAATAAATATGAGGTGAATGAATAGGATTATTTTCCATCGCACTATACCTACGAGTACTATACTTTGATAAAATCGTCAAAAATAAAAATATTTGCTGAACCAGGTCGACAATGACATTTGATGTTCAGAAAGTGAAAAAGGTTGACAAAATATGATATTTCGCTGTAAAATGTGAGAATGTTAACTGTTGTGTATGGTCTGACTAATGATTTGAAAATACCGATTACTTCGAAAGTCTGAAGAGGAAACTAACTCTCCTGTAAACTGTAAATCAGAAGTAAAATAACAGAAAATAACATAAAATTAAGAATTACAATATTTTTAGGTTCTATATATTTTTGGAAAACAAGTAGGTATGGTATTAGATTTCTTACATACAGATTAAATTTTTTTATTTTTAGATAGTGCAAGTTTCTCTCTACACAATATTTTCAAAATATATATACATACATAAATTTGACAACAATCTGTACAGTAGTTTCGGAGATTACCTGCTTAATAAATATCGACACAGACAGAGAGACAGATAGATATCATGCAGACAGATAACAGACAGAAAACGAAGATCTATTTTTTCATACTCTAGGGGTCATGAAACATTGAGCAAACTTGAAAGTAGCCGTTTGTTCTATTACAATACTTCCCTAGTTTATGCTCGGTAAGTACAAAGTCTAATATTGGAGTATTACTAAAGAAAGTAATATTTTGAAGCTGACATGTTCATAAATAAAAATAAAAATTGAATGGTAGAGATGACCCCTAGGTACAAAAACATAGGTCTCCGGTTTCCGTATGTCTGTCTGTCTGTCCGTCGTCTGTGCCAATTTTTGTTAGGCAAACAATTTCCAAAACTACTGGACCGATTGTTGTCAAATTCTATATGTGCATTATGAATATCATGTACATGGTAAAACGCTAACCACACTTCGTCTATCAAAATTGTACATAGTAAATGGGTCTTAAGTTGTATAAAATAACATAGTCCCATACGTGTAGTTTATTAATCCGTGTCCTTAAAAAATCGATGACGTCTCAAAATTTTGCGAATAAATGCTATTTAAAATGTGCAAACTGTGGTAAGTCTATACTTGTGATTTACCAGTGGATTCATATGTTTGAGAATTGTTTATACAGGGTGACTCACAAAAATTAGTGAATGAGTCAGTTTATTTTATTGTCTGAATCAGGAACGGGTCATTCCATTTTCCCAAAAATTTGGGAATCAAATACTGTTGTTATTAATATTACACTGCACCTATCCAAACTGATAAACGTGTCCTTACCAAAATGTTGATCACGCCATCACAAAATTTTGTAAAAAAAAAACTCATTTGAAGCCAACGCATAGCACGCTTCTTTACATTTACATTACGTACATATCTTTATTTTAACTCATAGGGGTTTTCTTAAAAGAAATAAATAAAATTCGCAAGATCAAATTTTATCATTTTTCGAAAAATCTGGATGTTTTATTGGACTTCAGGGGCGCAAGTTTCGGATCTTTTGGTATGTACAACTATTGAAGTGTATTCGTTTTCATAAAGTAGTACTTTTGACTAAAACAGATTAAACAGTACTTTATATCAATTTTCACATTTTTAAAAACTAATAAAACATTGTCACTGCAATAAATATTAAAATTATAGCTATTCTTTACAATGATTTGCAAAGCTCTTTTTAAGTAAAGTTATGTTTTAATTATTGTGGCAAAGCTTGAAAAAATATTTCACCAGATTTCAAAACATTTTGCTTGTAATATTGTTCAATAATTATGAACCGATTGTTCTTTATTTTTGTTTACTTTTAGATTACTCCGTCTTTTTTCAAATTCTTATCTGTATTCTTATAAAAATTTATTTTTCCACAATAGACTGTATCTGTAAGCGCACCACTTCATGCATGCAAAATTTACCAACACTGTCAACAAATTGATCAACTGCCATAAATCAACCGTTTAAAAGCAGACGATTGTGTCACAAAGTAGCTTCGAAGGTTACATATCTCTAATCAGTTAATTTGTGATCAACAGAAAAAACGCCAAACAACTTTATTCAATCACCGACTGTATAATGACAGATAAAAGGTGAAGGCCGCGTCGAATCTGTCTTTTTTCTACTCGCCTTAATTTTTCCAAGTGTAGCTAGCCCATTGTGGGTCACTGTCACTTTCGATTCGATGAGGTCACGATCGGCTCGAAAAAAATGGGATTTTTTCCAGCCGTTGCATAATGGTGTGATATCGCAATGGTTGTAAAGGTTAACGGTACTCATCGTGCTGAAGAGGTCTCTCAGTCAAGGGCAACTGCTAGACTTGCATCAGAATTAAACTAGCAAATAATTTAGACGACGAGTCTTCAAAACATTCGAAACGTCACTGGAAATTGTATACCCGGCATTCACTAAACTGGTATTAGAGTAATTACGTGCCACAGATTATTGTTTACGTGATACGAGTAAGAAGAAGCCGTTTATTGATAATAGTCGTAATTTGGGATAATTCTAGTGTGAAGCAACCTTAAGATTTTTCCTAGTTGCGTGTTGCAAATGAGTCGTTAAAATTTTATTAACTTGGCGGTTAATGGATGAAGAAAGCGACAAATTATGCAAAAATTAAGTACCTGACAATAACGGCGGTGTTTCTTGCGTTTCATTTTCAGCACACCTCTCTAGACACTGCGATTCATTACGAAAGTAAATGTGCATTTTGTAAACATTGCTGACGACAAAGTCGTTGCTCTTAGTCAGAATTCAAATTGCTGCGAAGACGGAAAAATTTCGAAAAATTACAGACCGACGAACTCGTTGTTTTCACACGAAATCACTCGGAAAACGAGCTGCTAATTGGTAGGAAACGTCCTGATTATCTCTTAAAAGGTGTTTGTTCCTTAGGTATAATTAAACAATTAAGTAGAGACGCGGATCGAAAGTTGAATGTAATTAAAGGAAACTCACCGGAGCGTTTGGGACTCATCGATGTTGCTGTTCACAATGATCATGGTTTATTGAATGGATTTTGATTTGCTGTCGTGTCAGATTTGATGTGACACGTTAATATGACATTTTGATTGATGGGAATGTGCGGCTGTGGATGGGATATGAAATTTTTATTGAGGAGTGTCGAAAGAGCCAAATTGTGTGGAAAATTATCCATGTTTTTTCAAATTGATTTTAATTTAGCATGTAGCATTGTTTTCCGTTTTGTATCTGAACGGTGTGACGACCTTTAGTTTATTATGAACAATGACAAAAAAAATTGTTGCCCAGTTTAGGTAACAGCATGTAAAACCCATAAAGAATGCATTGTGCATGACACTTTGTGGAGGTCTTTTTGCTTATTTAAAAACGTGTCGAGTTTGTGCATGAATCCAGTACAATTTATCAGAAAATTTGATTTTTATGTAAACAGTGATTACACCAATATTTATTTAGATATTAAAACTGCGCTGTGAATTGCAATTCTATATTTACGAACAGGTGTATTATGTAGGATTTACGATTCATTTTTCCTCGAGAATGATTGGTAATTAAAAAAAAGACAACGAACATTTTTTTAAGGAGCAGGTAATTAAAATTAGTAACAAACATAAAATTATTATTAAAGTCGATTTATTATTTTTATTACTAAAGTTTAATGATTTATTGGGAAAATAGTTCAAAATCAGTTATGAGTAATTTTTAATTAACAAAGTAACGTGTTTTATTGTATCCGGTTAGTTGTGAATGACTCTAGATTGTAGTGGCATTACGTAATATAACAAAAGACTTTTCTAGTGTGATTAACTTCAATGAAATAGTTGTGATTATTGTAGGTGTTAGTTGGTGTAAATTATCCCACACAGATCGTTAACATTAAGTGAATTTTATAACCACTTTGTCCAAAAATGTTTGCGGTTCATTTTCTGCTGTCGTTGCCACAGTTTCAAAACCATCATAATCGACATTTCATCTTTCTTTACTACTACTAAAAGTTCCGGTTTTGAAACAGTGAATGTTAAAATTATAAGTGGGTTTAATCGTTAAATTAACATAAACTGATCTAACGGGAATTTGGATAGCGCTGGTACCAAATTGACTAAAGAAATGCCAAAATTTCTGAAATGTCTGTAGGTACCTTTTTCAAGGCTACAAATTATGGTGAAACTTGGCATTTCGTTGGCAAATTTAGTGCTTACTCGGTCTAAATTTCCTTTAATAAAATTTATTATAGATGGATTTATGTGGGTGGTGAAGATTATAACAACAAGATTTATTAAATTGGATGAGACACGTACATATTTATGACCAGTCTTGCTTATATAAAGTAAAGATTCTGTGAAGAGATTTATGACGAGTTAGCTACATATTTCGTGATTGCAGTTGACTGTGCTTCAGAGAACGTATGTCAGTCCCTATTTCTCTTTGTCAAAAATTTAAATGTAAACGTTAACACCTTGACAACTTAATGACTTTTTACACAATCGTATCGATCAAGTATAAAAATAGTGGACAGGGACTTTTTTTTTAAGTTTTTTATTTCTGAAAGGCCCCAATAAGCTGCTGAGGATTATAATAGTTAAAATTTAAGACGTTTGCCTGCTTTTGGTTTGCTTGTTCGAAAAGGTTAAGGGTTTTGGGAATCGGGTGTCGTTGACCATTGTAATGTAACCTAAATGGAGTGTTGGTCACTTACATGCCACGGTTAGTTTGCTCCATGTAACAGGTATAAAGGATTATAAGGGTTTTCATTGTCTACAGATACCCAGAATAGGGTACCGCACGCCGAATTAGAGAACAAGCCGACCAGATTGCAGCCATACTGAAGCTAACCGCCTCCAATGGGAAGTCCGAAAAGCACTGTTGGATCTCAGGAACTAACAGTGGGAACAAAAACTCTAGTCCCTTAACACAGAGGACCAATTGACGTGGAAAATGGCCAAAGCCCTGAGAAGCGACAGAGCCCACTACCATTGATTCATAGCACGAACAACGGGATCGTCTTAACCGAAGAGGACAAAGCCGCCGCCTTCACTCACAGTCTGGAGATCCAGGGCCAGATGAACATCGGTCCTGATGCAGACGACGAACACATGGACCTCATCGAAGAAACCGTCGAAGATCTCCGTGAGGAAGAACCCTGACGACACGAAGTGATCAGACCAATTCCGACCAAGGCCGAGCAATCATCCAAAACCTTAAGCCGAGGATTCCGAAAAAAGCACTGAAAAACCTCTCCGACGAGGTCATCATCGCCTTGGTAGGTATTATAAATGTTATGTTCAAATTTCGTTTTTTTTTCCAGGTAGATGGAAACAGGCCAATGTCATCTTCAATCCGAAACCCGGAAAAAATCAATCCTTTCCCCAAAGTCATCGTTCCATCCGTGTTCTATCGTCGCTGGGGAAAATCGCTGGAAGGGTCATAGGGAGACGGCTTGCCGAGATCGTGACCGAAATAGGCATTCTTCCCGACAAGTAAGTAGTTCTCGGCTTTGGACACCACCATTTCACCCCCGACCAACTTCTTCGGGTAGTAGAATTCGCAGCAAAGTCATTTAAATGGAAGCAATTCACAGGCGCAGTGTTTCTTGATGTAGCCAAACCTTTCGACAGTGTCTGGCATGAAGGACTTCTTTACAAGCTCCACCTTGCCCTCACGTTTCGTGCCCACATAGGCCACGCTCTATCAGCAGAAAATCCAATAAGCGCTGGAGTCTGTCAGGGATCAGCACACTCTTTCCTGCTGTATGCGATTTTCACCCCCCGAACTAGTCTCGCGAGCTATACAGACCACACCGCCATCCTTGTGCGCACCAGATCGGCGCACAATGTGACCAACTACTTACAGGTTGTTCTGTTGGCTCATCACAATCAATTCCGATAAAAGCTGTTCAGATAGATCATTTCCTGGGAGGACAAAACAAAATATCTAGATGTCTTCATTCACACAAAGCTCAGCTATATTCCTCAGATTGACTTCATTGTAGCCAAGAGGAACGGAATCAAAGGCGTTCTGGCGCCATTAATCGGCAAAATGTAGATTAAGAACAAAGTGCTTCTCTATCAAATATTCATTGGCCCCACCATGTCTTATGCCTCAGTAGCCTGGAGCTACTAGCCTTCCAAAATTCATTTTCGTCCTCCTGACAAAAATTCTCCAACAAGCTCTCAGGGCTCTCTGGTTAGTTAGGAACAAGCAGATTCTTCTGGAGGCCAACATTCCGAAGTTAAAACAATTTCTGCACGAAACTGCACTTCGCACCTTCAAGAAAGCTGAAGAACACCCCAATCCCTTGGTCTGAGAAGCCGTTGACTACGAGTTCGTCGAGGAAGCCTCCGAAGACGCAAGCGCTACTTGACGACAAAATCGGTGTGTGATCCACCCACTGCTCCCACCAACCGGCCATCCCCGGCTACACCTTAAAGGCAGGTAAGTATATCTAATGTCAGCGCATAGCGCACATTTTTTCAGTTTGAGATCTTTGCACCGACCATCAGAGAAAGATCGTAAGATTATTACCTATGATGGGGGGAAACTTCCTAGGCGAATCAATAGCTCAACTGAACTGCAGTGGCACAGCAGTTCTGTGATCACTCAGAAGTCAGGACCCAGGTGAAGAGGACAACAAAGTTCTGGTACCTGCGCACAAGATGGATACCGAGCTCTTGCATTACAGTTCCATGAGTTTCAGAGTAAGTCTACAGGGATAAAAAAATCAGCAGCTCTATTTTTGTAAAAAGTGTTTATCGCAGATTTTGAAAAAAATAAAACATTTTTCAACAAATTGTTTAGTTTTTAGTAGATGAACCTATTGGTGAAAAATTTAAAAACAGTAAAAATATTTGTCAAGATGTATAGGAGAACCTTAACTCCGGTCCAGGTCAGGTGTTCACTAATTCGACACTTTTGGATTAGGAAGCGATATACCTTAATAGTATATTAAGTATTAAGAACGGTAAGGGGTGTTTACTGATCGAAGACAAAAGTTTGGAGACGGAGCGAAGCGACGTCTCATAAAAAAAATCTTGAATGCGTGATTACTTACCGTTCAGCTGAACAGTAAGTAATTTGCTTACCGTTCTCCTCTTGGTTGTTAGTCGTAGCAACCCGTAAACTGAACTTACTGCTATGGAAACCTGTACGGTAAATGATCGAAAAATCAATGGTCGTACAAAAAATTTATTTTATCTACAACTGCTTTATAAAGGCCTTATTACACAACTCATTCGGAACTGTTTGAGTTGAGTAATAAACCCTCTTATTCCACTAGTGGTGTAATAGAAAGATTACACCACTAGTGGTGTAATGAAGGTCTCCACTTCTTAGTTGAATTTTATTAACATGTAAATTACAACAAATTACATTGATTAATTCTTAACTTATTTGTTATACACGTCGATAATACATTCCTTACGATTACTGATATTAATACCAGATGAAATGAAATTATTTGTATCTTTGTCCATAAAGCTTAGGTTTTGTTAACAAAATGTTTGTTACAGCTCCAGTATTTAAGATTTCTCTTCTAACAATGCTTGAATCTCGGTTGTAGCTACTGGCCGTACTTGTTCTGGCTCCAGGATCACCTCCAAGAATATCAGAAGCGGTCTTTTTCTTGTTTTCAATCGAAGTGTCGATATAACCTTCAGTACCTTCACATACAGCCCAAAGGCTGCTGCATTTATAACTTTTCGACAAATCTTCAAAAAATGGCAACAGCACCTTCTATCTTGCTTCATGATTTATTTTCTTGGATGCACACCAGTCAGTGAACCGTTTTTCGTATTTAGTTTTTGATTTATCAGGGAACAATGAAGACACTAGGTTTGTAGCAGCTTCTTCTGTTTCGAAAGGCAAGCTTTCTGCTTCAGAATCACTCATTTCTCGATTGAACAACATTTTTTTTCTAAAAACTGACGCGTTGTTTACAACAAATTTGAGCGGTTGTCATAACACTGCAAAAATTCTCATGATTCTTGATTTTTAATTAATAAAAAAATTTAATCGGCTTGTTTTCTTTTTCATTTTTGGGCAGTTGTAGATAAAGTTTTGTATTTCATACGTGGGCTAGAGCATATTACAGCAACTCGTGTGATTACAGATGACTCGGTCTAACGACCTCGTCTTCTGCAATCTTCACACTCGTAGTGCTGTAATAATGGCTCTATCCCACTAATAAGATAAATAACTATTAATAGTTGTTTATTTAAACAATATTAAGATTCATGGAGCTAAAAATGCGTTTTTTTTTAATATTGCAACATTTTTTGCTATACAAAATTCTACCGTTGCGTAACTTGTTTATTTACCTACTTATTACATGTATACCCTCTGACTTATTTAGTTTCACGTTTGTTTCTATTTACATGGATTTTAAAACTGAACTTTAAAAAGGCACAGCTAAAATTTATACAAAGTTTACAATAGGTGGTTTCATCAGTTTGGACCGGAGTTAAGGTGAGGGATCAAGGTACTCCAGGTACAGTATAACCAAAGCTCTTGTGCGGAGTCTGCCTCAGGCGTCTATTGACTTTCACAAATTTTTACGACGGCTTAACCACCCACCGTTGTAAACTTGTTTATAGTAAACCAAGAGCTATAAGGTTATATGGCCATCATAAAATCATTCAATTTTATCGAAGTTAAGTTGTTTACAATAGAAAAGGTTTTAGAGTCGTAAATAACGTGTCCACTGCAGCTCGACCGGCTCTTGTGGTTTCGTTCAGGGGCGGCTTTCACTAAATATCAAAATCCACCACACCACTATTTCTTTACTACCTGCAGCCGCTGAGGGTTCCGAAATAACCACTCGTTTTGAAAGCCGGCCCTGTTAAATATGAGCAAGAAATGTTTAGAAGATGATTTATTGCCAACCGGTAAGCTTAGTGCGAACCACACAAAGGGGGTATTTATTTGCGGTCAACTACTTTTATGATGGCCATATAACCTTATAGCTCTTGGTTCACTATACTTACCCCGACTTCTTTTTTGAGTGATACAGGACCGTACTTGAATTTAACAGAAGTGTTAACGTGCAGTGCAATCATTACCCAAACATAAAAAACACACACTTATCATTCAGTCATCTGGACTGCGGCAAGTTTACAAGGGTCTTTAGTTAAGTCCTCATAAAAATGAGTGGAAGTCAATACACGCCTGAGGCAGACCCCGCACAAGAGTGTTGGTTCACCTATACCACTGTAACGAGATACTTGGACTGGAGTTGATGATCGACTGCAAATATGTCAATAACCACTTGCCGACATTACATTTGTTAATTCACGATGTACTTTAATCAAAGTAAAATTGAGATAAAAACTTAGTGTTAGGTATTTCAATAACAAAATGTTCGTAATTATCCGGCGTTTAAAAGAATCCGCACAGGATTCGACAATTATCCGTCAGTTGGCAACTCTGACTAGGACGGGCAACAACTATTTATGGTATTAACCCTTCAAATTATATGCAAGTCTTTCCGACCGCTGCGCCCAATTTTCCTTACCTCTCAGGTAGTTTGAACGCAACGGTCCGGTGGGATTAGGACCATCTGCAAATTTTTCCAATAGGGGGTGCACCTGACCCATCGCAAGTAATCAGGCCTGTAAATTATCATTACCATAATCCAAAGCGGTTTATTGGTGCCTTCCAATAAAACAGAAAGGCAATGTTCACTATTTGGGCGAACCGACTATAAATTATTAGCGCCATAATCTTAAAGGATTAACGGAAGGGTTCGATGAAGATAATTTAATTATCGTGTATGAAACTAACAATGTCCAGAAAGTGTTTCGTCTCCTTCTTAAGTCAATAAAATATGCCAAAATAAGACAAAACGGCGTGTCTAATTTCATCCTTACGCTAACACTTACTATAACGTATTTTGCCGTCTAAAAAAGTGACAATGTAGAGAATATTGTTGCTTTTCCGGGAATAATTATTCTTTTTTAGTTATTGTGGACTAAAACAAAATTAACTAGCGCATTTTTCTAAGTATAGGCAACCCAACATACTCTTTCGTCAATGATCCCCTTGATTTATGAGGGGGAGGTCCACTATTGAGAAATTAATGTATTTTAAAATCGCTGCCCAGAATGTATGCAAATGAGGTGGCCCTTGCTATCGATGTATTATAGTGTTTGTACACATACCGTGGTGGAAAGTGTTTCGTGCCTTCTTTTTCCACGAGGTTTCTATACTATTTTATACACAATTGTTTAACTAGCGAAAATGAAACAAAAATGTCCTAATTTAAAACGTAATACGAGTACTAACTCAGTTTACATTGAAATTAAAGGTTGGAAAGTGAACACGGTTAAAAAATTAATTCGCGAAAAATTGCTCATCGTTGGCCGATTGTGAATAAATAAGCTTTTCTGCGAACGCAAACTGGTTTTTCCTCTTTTGTTTTTGTTATGCAGTGTATTACTTAACACTGTTTATCACTTTAAAGTATTATTATCGTCTTTTTTTTCAATTTTGTATTGTTGCATTGTTGTCTTAGGTAATTGTTGAAGTACACGTTGCCTTTATACGTAATTTTTACTGGAAAAATATAGTCTAGAAGCATGCGATAATAATGCGACAGGACATTACTGTGCATACAATGCACCATAATGTGTGTAATTATTCACCTTTATCAACGTTTGTTGTGCATGTAAGCCATGACAATAAATAAACATTTTAAAGATGCTTACAAACAACTGTTTATATGTACTTTCTGAATAAATATTACATATTTATTATGGTTGGGTCGACGGGCACATAGCTAAAACAGATTTCTGAAAATAAAAGTAGTTTTCTTGGACAGCTAGACAGACTTTCAGTAAGACGATTCTTCCTGATTATGTGTTTATTGAAAACATATTTATCTTATTTTAAAACTCCAACATTTTCTTAGGAGAGGTTAGGAATCTAATAGCTGATTAATTTATTATTATTGTAGTTGAAAATGTTTCTAGGAAGACTGGCACTTTACTTTTATACAGTTGTCACAATTTCTTGTTTTGCTGAATTCTGTTTTCACTTTTTATCTTTTTCGCCCTTTTTTTTAAAAAGTGTATTGCTCTATACCCTTTGCAATGCCAAAGAATTATAATAAAAGCATCTGATACTAGACTTCGTCTTTAAAGATACATTCTAAAACGAACCCTAAAATATTTAAATTTAATAGAAAAGATAAGGGTAGCTTTTACTAATAATAATAATAATATGATATATAATAATGCTAAATAAAAATAATTGTCTCATAAGTACTGCTGGTAATATTAGTTAGCAAAAGTATAAAAATAAAATTAACAATATACTCGTATGTGTTAGAACATGTTCAAGATCTCGTGGTCTCCGAGTTTATGGTGCACGTAAGACCAAACTCTGTCCTGACACAGTTGACACTTTTCATTAGCGACTTTTAACCCGTACTTTGTCCAGTTTTTTCGTGTTATTTTATTTCACCTGCACTTTCTTTCGTTGCTGAATAAAATCTGTTTTTTTGAAGACAACTCTATTCGAAATTATGCTTTAGTAAGTAATTAGAAGCGTTATTAAATTTTTTCTAACTCAGATTTTTGTGGACGTGTTGTGGACGAAAAGTAAAATGAGTAAGAAAATCATTTGTAAAGTAATGTATAAATTTAAAAACATTCAAAAACGAAAACCATCGATGACAACAGTTTTTAAACCTGTGAAGCAAGAT